GCAGGGAAAGCGGCTGGGGGGTATAGCCGGGAGCGGGGGGGAGCACGTTACCAGCATCGCTCCCTCCTCTGTGGCCGTGAAGAAAGGCAGATTGTCAAGGAAAGAGCGTTTACAGTTTACAAAACAAGGGGAAAAAAAAGAAAAATATGGTAGTGTGCCAGTGTGCCAGGTCCTGAGCGTGGCTGGCCAAGGGACAATTTCTGTTCCCAGCCCCGAGCTGCTCCCCGACCAATGGGATTACGGGTGTGGGGTGGTTTTGGTGGTGCACCAGGCTGGCTGCAGGTATTCACCGGTGGCTTCTCCTCCCGGGGTGCCAAATGCAGAATGCAGCATGAGGCCGTGGGTCGTGAGGGGTATGTTTGATGGTGGTAAGGGGACACGCCGAGGACAGGGTGGATGCAGGGATGCCCTGTGTGGCACCACTGCCAGGGATATTTCTGGGATATGGGGTCCTGCCAGCTCCCATCCTGAGGGTCCAGCCCTGTGACCTGGATGGAGACTGAGTGCAGGCCCTGGAGCAGCAAAGGCAGGATGGGAAGCAGCTGGGGAGGCCAGTGGCGAGCTCCTAGGGGGGGACACAGGAATGAAATGCCAGCTCTCCCAGTGCTCTGCCCCATGCCAGCCTCCCCGCTCTCCCCTTTCCACACTTCAGTCACTTGATGGCGTTGGTGCCACGATCGGTTTGAAGCAGCCCCTGGGCTGTGCTGGCAGCGGGAAGAGCCCTCCGAGCCTTCCCTGTCCTTACAGGGTGGATTTTGCAGCTGGCTCAGCAGGCAGGGCTGGTGCAGGGCTCCTGCGACTGTGCTGGAGCTGCAGAGGTGCAACTCTCCTGGCGTGCTTTATACGGGATGTGGCATGGAGCTCTGCATCCCACCAAATGTCCCTTAACACTTATGCTGGCTTGGGCGATGCAGAAATCCCCCCTGACAGAGCAGCTCCCGTGGGACACACATCCCAAGCCTCTGTGCAGAAGTGAGGAGCTTGGATCTCAACGTGGCTCTACCATAAATCACCGGAGCCAAGAGAGCTGCTGGGCTGAAGTCACGCTCCTGGAGCCTGAATTCATCTCTCTGGCAACCCCAGAATGAATTCCCGTTGGTCCAGCTGGTAGAGAGCGCCTTCCCCTTGTCATTTCTTGCTTGCTTTCTTCCTTAAGGCAAAACAATCCCCCCTCCTGCTTCCCCCGCCTGGCATTTAATCACGTCTCCATAGCTTGATGGCCTCTGCCACGTCTGGGCAGTGAGACGACCTTCATTATCTCTCCGTGTAGCAGGTGAACTCTTGCCAGCTTCTGACTTTATGAGCCCTGTTAGCGTGGCTTGGAGCATCCCGGCATGCGACGGCCTCCCTGGGCTCGGGGAGGACTCCCGTGCCGGAGCAGCCGAGCTGGACACGCTCCTGCATCTCCGGACCATGCAGGGCTGCATCCCCAGACACATCTCTCACCCCCCATGGGCAGCTCCTGCGGTGGAAGGAGCGGAGGATTAAATGAGGAGCGGCTGAGGTTGTTGGCTGGGAATCAGGAGCATGCTGTGGGATACAGCTCTCATTACTGCCCTCCATCTTCTCCTCCGCTGTGGTTCGACTTGCTTGGGTGTCCTGGCTGCTCTCCCCCATCCCAGCCAGCCCTACTTGCTCTCCCTTTTTCCTCCCTTAGTGCCGTTTTCCTGCCCGAACGCTCCGCGAGCTCGTGGCCTTGATGTCTGCGCTTCGCATCTTGCGTGGCATTTGCATATAAAGGTGGTTTTAATAAGGCAGGGCTGCTAGGGAATGAGAAACCGAGGTGTTTCACTGCTGCTGGCTCCTCCTGGGCCTTGTAAATCATTGCATAAAGCATCGCGGAGCCAGCCAGGGAGAACTGCTGCCTAGCAACTTCTTCCAATGCCCCAGGGGAGCTGGATGTGGCCTGAGAGCTACCTGAAAGGTCTCCTTTGGAACCTTCCGTCTTGGGGGAAGATGAGCTGGAACAGAAGAAAACGTGCTGGGTGGGGAAAAGAGTTGAAATGTATTTGGCAGAAGTAGCCACTTTGCATCTGAATGTCTCCTCTGAGGAAAGCAGAGGGATGAGTCAGCCTTTGCAGAAGGGATCTGGAGATGCGGGGCAGCAGAGCCATGCCACCGCCCGGAAACGCAGCGAGGATGAGGATGAGGATGGGTGGGCAAGGGTGTGGGAGGGCAGGAAGGATGCTTTCCTCTCCCTGCCTGCTCTTCCTTCCCGAAGGCTAAAGGAAAACTCTCAGGGTCATAGTCTTATCCTGCTGGAACTTGTCAATTTGGAGGATAATGAGATGCAAAAGAGCCAAAACCCCGATGTTAACCCATTCTGCCCAGACTCAAGCAGTAGGTGGGTACAGGAGCTGGTGAGATGTGTGATCCACCACTGCAACGTCAACCGCTGGGGCTGCCTGTCCCCAGCCAGGCAGGTTTAATCTGAACCTCCTCCCTCCTGCTGGAGGGGATGTGGGGCGTTTGCTTTGTGTCTTCCCACCAGGGTCTTGTCTCCATCCCCATCTCCGTGAGCAGAGCTGTCAAGCCCAGGTCTCGTCCCATCCTGGATCAGTCATCTTGCTGTCCTCAGGGCTGCAGAAGCCAAAATGAGGTGGTGGGGGTCTCAAGTGTTTTGGATCCTCAGGGTTCCTTGTTCATTCTCACCCTTGCGCCTCTCTCCAGCTCTCTGCAGGTGACCCCACCATCACCAGCGGACCCCTGGGAAGATGCCAGGGCTGATTAACCGGACAACCCGATCCCCGATCCCACTCACAGCGTCGGAGGTGACGTCGTGCGTCAGCGGCTATGCCTTCGGGATGACAGCCTTGCTCACCTACCGCAACCCAGAAGCTCAGGCATTTGAAGGCAAGTTTCAAGGGGCGAAGCTCCCAGTGCAAGAGCTGCTATGGGAGCTTTGAGCCAAGGATATTACAGTGCTGGGTTTCTTTAGATCCTTGTGGGAAGGGTAGCCAAAGGTATTGTGTCCTCAATTGTAACCTCAGCGTTCCATGGCTACAATTTTTGAAGCGTGAAGAATCCCAGAAGCATGCATGGAAGTGCCAAGGGGGAGCTGGACCCTGAAGTCCTGGCTGGTGGGTCCGGGGAAGTGCTCGGTGTTGCTAAAACCCCTTCTGGCTGGCAGGTCTCTTTGTCTACCCCTTGGATGAGGGCACCGCCGTCGTGGGGTTTGAGGCGGCCGTGTCCCGGCGTGCCGTGACGGTGCAGATCAAAGACAAAGCCAAGATAGATGACACGTATTTCGATGGTTGCAGCCTCCTCGATGGAAGAGCTCGTGATGGAAGCGGTGAGAGGGTCAGGGGCGTTTTAGTGAACTTGGGGAAGAAAACCAGAGAAAGAGGAATGGGGAGGGGACAGGGGGTGGCTGGCTGTCATGTGCCGTGGCATTGAGAGGACTCCTTTTGAAAGGCTGAGCCTTGGGTTGTGGTGCTCGTGTCCCTATGGTGTCTGCCAAAAGTGGTGGTCTCATCCATGTTGGAAAGTGCTGTTGCTTCTGGACAGCCGAAGGAGTGGTACAGAGGGGCTGGGTCTCTTTAGAGAAATGCTGATGTGTGCAGTGAGGGCTGGTTTGGACATTTGATCCAGGGCTGGGGTGGTAGTGGGAGGCCTGGGGAGGAGCGTTTTCCATGGTTGTGACACCGTGTCTCCCTGGTGTGGTCGTCTCTCTCTGTGCAGGAAGGATCATGATGGATGAGGATTTGGAGAGGATAGTTTTTGTAGCTAACCTGGGCATGATTCCTCCTCTGGAAAGCATCTCCATCTTCATCAGCACCTCCTCCGAGCTGCAGACACTGCCCAGCGGGGCTGTGAGGGTCCTTCTTCCAGCTGTGTGCGTCCCCAGAGTCCCCCAGCCCAGCCTGGAGAATGCCAGCAGCCTTTCCAGCCACCAGCTCCGAACGTACGAAAAACCACGGGATGGGATCTGTCCAGGACTGGTCTGGGGAGGGATGCGGGACTGGCAGAGCAGAAGCCCGCTGTTGCTGCGGGAGGCTGCTGAGCTGCTGCAGGCTTTTTCTCCAGCAGATCTGCAGTTCCTGGGGGGACATAACGTGTGCAGTGTGTACATTGGGGTTCATGTCACCGACAGGGACAAGCACTACTGTGGGTCGGGAAGCCCGGAGCGAGGGAGCCGGTTCTGCCTGGCTCAGCTGCTGGAGGGTGAGGCCACCAACCCCTCCGAGTACGAGTTCAGCTTCCACCTGGAGATCCGAGGGCCGTGCTTGCTGGCAGGTAGGAGCGCCGGGGCCGTCCTGCAGCACCAGGCTGGTTTATCACCTCCTCAAGGCAATGTCCACACTCTTCCTCCTTCTCTGCCCTCACAATGTGGAGTCTGTTTTGTCAAGTTAACTGTGGTGGGATGGATTTACCAGTCCAACGCTGGTGTTAACGTGGGGTGTTGATACAGCAGAGGCATCGCATAGTCTGCTTGCTTCCTGTCCTCTGCTGTCTTGCTATCTCTTCTCCCTGATCTTCCCCGTCCTCAGTCACTAACTGCACCTTGATTTTCCTGGACAGGCGTTGAGAGCCCCACGCACGAGATCCGAGCAGACGCCGACCCCTCCGCTCGCTCCGCCAAGAGCATCATGATCACGCTGGCCAATAAACACACCTTCGACAGACCCGTGGAGATCTTGATCCACCCAAGCGGTAGGTGGGCTCTGCTTCCTCCCTGCTGCTCTTGCCCCTTCCTGGGGTCTTCCTCCAAAGTGCTGGATTAGCTCTGGTTTACAAATATTGTCGGGCATAAGGCTTCCTAGGAGATAATCCCGGAACCTCTCAAGGTTGCCCGTGCTGCCCAGGCTCAGAGGTGTTGCTCTGTTTTCACCAACGAGGGTGCCTGCATCTCTTGCAAACCTAAAGTTTAGCTAAGGCTCTTCTTCACCCAATTCTCTGCATTTCCAGAGCCCCACATGCCTCACATCTTAATGGAAGAAGGTGATATGACGCCTGCAGAGTACGAACGACACCTGAAGGGGAAGAACGATTTCATTAAAGGCACTAAGAAGGACCCCAGTGCTGAGAAAAAGGTGAGAAACAAAAGCTGCAGGCGTTAGCTGAGGCTTTCCTCGGGACTGGAGCTGTGCAAGTAAATGATGGCTGGCTTGCTTGCGGTACCAGATATTACACTGGCCCAATAAGCTCTGCATCATCCTCCCTCGGAGAGGGGCTTATGTGGAGGAAGAGGGGAAAATTCTGCAGTGCTTCTGATAAACGGAGTGTGGAAGAAGCTCTGAGATGGTTATTGTGTGTATAATTAGTGCTAGTCTAGCATAGCATAATTAGATAGGTACATTGTTACAGCATTAAGGGTATTATAATTATTGCAGTGACATAGAATAAAATATTCTTTTAATTGCTCAGTAAATGTTTACTGTTTCTGGATAGCTGTCAGAGAGAAATAAGTGATTTTACTTGGAGTAATGAGCTGAACTGAAGACAAGGTAGGAGAAACTTCTCTTTGTTCTGCTGAGCAGCAAGTAGAAAAATATCTGCTCTGGGATTTGTGCCTCGTCTTTCAGCAATTCTGAAGCACTGAGTGACAGCTTAGCACTTCTGAGCTGCCACATCAGTGTGTCTGGGACCAGTGAAGAGGAGGGGAACGGTCAGAGCCCTCTGAATTTCCAGGGTGGGCGTCTTCGCCTGAGGCACACATCGCACTTGGGTGCCCACAGCCGTGGGCTCGCTGCGTCAGCTCCCCGTTCTACACGCACCGACGTTCTCGTTTGCTCACGGGGATGCTCATTTCCCCTTCAACTCCTTCTTCAGGTGCCTGAGCCTGGGCCCCCGCTTGGCAGACGCCCCAAACCTGTTGGGAAGGTGCCTCCCTGTGCTGCTGTGCTTTCTCCTTTCACCAGAGACACATCGACCCTCTTCTCTTTCCTTTTGCCCTTTGCTTTCCCTTGCTGGGATCGGGGCTGTGCCTGCTCGCGCGACAGGCGTCTCCTTTAATTGTGTTCGGTGTGCGGCAGGTGGAACGAAATGAACCTCCCACGCTACGGCTCAGATGGTTCTCTAATTATTTCTGTGTCTTTAGCACGTCAAATTATCTGCAGGGAGGGGGGGGATCATTCCAGAGTCATTTCTCTGCAGGAAACCCACCTCTTTGCCCCAGGAGGACTGGGCAGCAACTGCATGGAGAAGGGCAAAAGCAGAGAAAATGCCCTGAGTGCCTGGGGTAGATTATGGGCTAGAATTGCTGCTGCTCAGAGCGTGACACCGGGCACCTCTCGGCTTAAATGAATTAGCCCAGAAATTTCAGTGGTAAATGATGAATTAATTCTCATCCCTCGGTTTGTTATGCAGAAACCTTGGACGCTCGTCAGCTAGCAGGGTGGTGGGGATGAACGCGCGCTGGAATCAACTCTCGGTCGAGCGTATCTGATTAGTTTGCTGTAACTGGATAATGGGTGAAGGGGAACGGAGGAGAGGGGAGGTGGGGAGAAGAGATGTGGATGAGATTCTTGCTCTTCTGGCTGACCTGTAGCAGCACCTCCGAGGCTGTTTACTGAAGGCTTGTCTCTAAAATTCTCACTGAAGGCTTGTCTCTAAAATTCTCACTGAAGCCAGTGGGAAATCCAGGTTATGGGCTCATCCTGATCACACGGGGATTTTATGTCTTGGGTCCCCAAGAGCATCCCAGGGAGTGCTGCGGGTAGGTCGGGGGCCACGATTCAGTCCTCTGGCAGAGACAGCAAAGATCCCTCTAGTCTGAAATGTGATAAACATCCTTGCTGGGAAAGATGTTAAACAATAATGTCGTATGGCTGGTGGAAAAAGCTCTTCCAGTTGCCAGTGACTGGTTAATTTATACTCCAAAGGGTGAGAGCGAAGTGCGGGAGGATGAGCGAGAGCCGGGGTGACGGCGACGTACTTGTTCCCGGGAATGGGAACCGTCTTTTCGCAGGGGTCGGAGAAGCAGCACTCCGGCAGCGCCGCTGAAAGCCAAGAGCTCGTGTGTGTGTGTACGTGTCAATCTGCAGGGACTCTCGATTTAGTGAGTTATGCACAATAAAGGTCGGTCCTTAGCTCGTAGATCTAGGAATATGACTCAGAGCCGGAGGAAACAAGCCCAGTTATCTGGGTCTGGTTTACTCCTGGTGAAACCAGAAAGAAACAGCAGCTTTTGAAAGAGGAGAAAAAAGGCAAGCAAACCCCCCAAGGACCGAGCTGCTTGGTGCGTGGATGTTTCCGCACTGCAGACGCAGGGATGAAAGGCCCCGGGCCGTGCCGATGTGGGGTCCCGGAGCTCCCTCGAAAGCAGCGCCGCGCTGATTCACTGCAGCCGTGGCCATGAGCCCAGGATGGCTTTATATCCACTCACCAACAGATTATTAACTGAGCACGAGAGGCTTTTTCCAGTTTCGTTTTATCATGTTTTTAATGAAGATTGATACTTGAAATAAAATGAGATAAAACGCAGAGAGCCGTTAGAGCTGTGTGCAGTAGAGAGACATATATCACGCGGGTTCCTATCGACCGGTTCGGCTTTCCAAAGCGTTTCATTCCATACAAAGAAAAATTCTAAAAGAAATAGGCAGAAAAACCAGCAAACTAGAGGCGGCAGGAATGAATTGAAGCGGTGAATACAGCGTGCTGAGGGCTGGATCTCACCCTTCGTTATTGAGTGCCCATGGAGAAAACCTCCGGCGTGCCTCGGTGTGGCACTGAACTGCGCTAATGAACGAGATTTTTGGGAGGAACCTAACAAAATGTTTGGAGAATCAGGTTTACAAGGTGCTGCGTAGGGCCAGCTCTTGTCATTTCTTCTCCAGGCTGTCATCCAAGCGTGCAGCCACTCCACGTGTGCCGCGGTCCCTGATTAAGGCTTTCTGCCACCCTGTGTCCCCAGGCAAAATGTGACCGTGGCTGCAA